AGAACCATAAATTTCCCGGTCTGAGTCAGTACATGTAGGGGTGGAAACAGTTTAGTTTTGATTTAACCAAAATTAATATTTGAGCTATCTTTTTTTTTTTTCATTTTATAGGAACCAATATAAAACTAAGAATGTTTATAGATTTTTAGTTTGGTGATTGAAAATATCAGTTTCAATATCTCAACTATTGATTATAATTAAATTAACATTAAATATCTATTTTAAATTTAACAATAACCATATTTAGCTAAAATTTGAAATTTTTAAGAGATATAAATATAAAAAAATCGACAAATTAAAGTAAAATATGAATTTCAAATTTTATTTTTTTATTTTTAGATATATTTTAAATTTAAATACTAAATTATAACAAAATTTATGAGATAAAATTTGACAATAAAATTAAATAAGATAATTTTTATATTTATTTATAACATAAATAACTATTATTTATTTATTAATATAAAATTGTATTTTTTAGCTATATATTTGATTTTTGGTTTTTTTAACAATCTAACCACCATTAATTGACTACATTTTTTTAGTTATCTGATCAAAAAAAAATTTTAAAAATCAATAATCATTTATATTTAACCATTTAATTAATTTTTTTTATTAATTCTTAATTACCAATTTAATTAATTCACGGTTTCTAAGTACATGAATCATCCCTCCACGAGAAATCATTAAAGATTAGAACGTGAGTAGTTAGCAGTGCTTTCCGTCTCTAAGGATTAGGGGCACTTTAATGCCATTTCATACCAAGTAGTCACAGGTGTCTCTGTGATTGAACAACAACAAACTCCTCGACTCCGATCCATTCCGTCCCTTCTCACCTCTGATCCTATAAGCTAACCCTGACCCTGTAAAATTGAGAGAGGTGACGCGCAAAGCAGGCCTATATGTTGTTGTGATTTGTGTTGCGGTAACGACGTCAACGTTTTTTTTTTTATATTAACTTTTTGAGATTTGATCATTATTTTGAATTTGATTAATTTGAAATCGAGTCAAATTAAATTTTATTAATAAAAAAAAATTTAAATTTATTTTTTTATTTATAAAAATTAAACTCAAAATTTATTTAAAGAGGATCAGATTATTTTTATTAGAGTCGGTAAATTATTGGTGAAGTCAACGTTCAGTGGTGTTGGAGTTCAGACTCATTGGAGAACGATAAAAAATTTGGACTAAGTTATGGTGGTATGAGAATCGCTAAGGACAAAGCCAGTATATTTAGTCAGTGAACGAAGATTATTATTAAAAATTTGAGTTTTTAAGTATTTATTAAAATATTAATTTTTTTAAAGGTTTAAAATTTTTTTTAATTTTATAAAAAATTTATTTGTGATTTTTTTATTAATATATTTTTAATAAATATTAAAAACAAATATATTTATTAAAATAAAAAGTAAAATATCACAATAATAAATCTTGTAATGATTAATTGAAGAATGAATAAAAAGAAGAAGTGTATTTGTTGATTAAATCTTTAAAAAATTAAGAGAAAAAATACTATAAAATTATATTATTTCAATAAATTTATATTAAAAAATAAAAATAACATATTTTTAAAATAAGAATGAGAGTGTCTTAGTTTTATTGAAATAATATAATTTAAGAATGTTTTTTCTCCTAACTTTTTAGAGTTCATGTTAACAAACATTTATATTATAAAAAAAACGAAAATATTTATTTTAAAAAGTAAAATCTAACTTAAATTAATTTAACACGAAAAAACATGATTATAAATTTAATTATGAAAAGTAAAAAAACCTACCTTGATACCAAAACAAAAACCTTTAAATTATTACATATAGAATATTAAGAAAGAAAATAAAAAGAATATTAAAGAAAATTATAAATTTAAAATAATTTAAATAGATATCAAAGTTTTTTTTTTTTTTTTAGAGTTTAATAGAAGAAGAAATACTTAAGAATCTCAATTTCTAATTAATTAAATTGACATAAAATTCATTTCATTTTAATCATATTCTTCTTTTTTGAAAACTTTTTATCAAGATCCTAAGTTTTTCTATTTATTTGAAATGGTCCTTGAAATTCATTCTATTAAAACAAAATTTTTAATGAATAAACGTTAGATATTTTTCAGAAGTTTAGGGGGCGGTGCCCCCTTTTTCTTCATTGGATCCATTCCTAAGTATGAGATTATTGTTAAATAAATTAAAATGCTAAGAATGATATGAGTAATAAAAAAAATTTATTTAAAAGTACAGCTTAGGGATATAATAAGTATATTTTTTCTAATTATTTATATAAAAATATAAAAATTAACTTTTACTTTAATAATATTATTGCATAAGTAATTGTAATTAACAAATGAATTAATTAAAAATATTTATATTTTATATATAAATTAATTATAAAATATATATTATATCCTCAATTTAGGTCTAAAAAATAAAATTTTTAAATACTTTAAATAAATTAACAATTTAATAAATAAACAATTTTTATTAAAAATATTTAAATAATTTTAAAGACAAAACTCATAAAATGCGTGTTTTCGAGCACACTTTTCTCGATTCATGTTCACTTAAAAATTAAGGAAGATACTGTACATGTTATAGAGAACACGAGATGATTTGACGCAGGGATAGTGCTTAGCGGTACTGATATCAATCGAACAATGCCGGTGAGGGTCGTGGAGAGCTTTCTGCGACTTCTCAGGTTTCAGGTTTTTCTCTTCTCTAAAAGCTCTTCCTGTCTTTTTTTTTTCTTCGCTGAAACGCTTAGAACTTAGAACTGCAATCGAGCGCAGAGCAGGAGATAGGTTTTCTTAACGTAACCGATTATTCTTCTTGATTTTTGGTTGGATTTAATCATTCTTTGTTTATATATATAGAATTATCATCTCTCGTACTCGATTCGATGGCACTGGACTAAGTTTCCATCTTTTGCAGCCCTCTTGGTAATGAGTTCACTACAAAGGTTACTGCTTCTGCTGGCACTTAAAAAGAGGCGATTGCAGGCACTTTTGTGTGCCTGCAAAACCATAGCCAGCGCTTAAAAGGAAAATTATAGGATCAGAAGTGGTCCAGTACCTCAGAAGAGAATTACACATAAATATTAGAAAAGACATTCTATGAAAACCTGGAATCAAATCCCTGAACAGATTTCATGTTATCAACTAATGTGTAGCCATCCCCACATCTCATTCTCATAGACACCCACCAATCTTTAAAATAAAAATTAAGTTAAAAGGATTACTTGTAGGATACCATTAGCAGGGAAGCCATAATACATAAATATTATGTAACAATTAGAAATGGTACACATGTTCAAATACCTACCTCCATTCAACCACAATTTTTCCAACTTTGTGATCATCAACATACTTAAACTCTCCAATATAACCTACATGACCAATCATAAGAAAAGAAGATATTCAGATATTAATACAGTTTTATCTAAAGCTTGTATAGAAAGGGATAACAGGCAAACCATGTTTCTGCATGACCAAAAGGAACTTGATAATCACTTTTGAGGATGGCCTGATCATGACTTGTCTTTAACCCCTTTTCTCTGCATTGTACATGCTCTTGAGAGCATCATTCAAGACACTAACCGTCACCATTGGTTCAAATGCAAGCTGCTGCTGATTTACAGAACAGAAATCACAGAAAAAAAAAAAGAAAAAGAAAGGCAATATTCCTAAAACTTCATATCAACACAGTATCCCCTTTCTGCGAGCATTGCTTACTATAATAGTGATTTCCAGTAATACTGCCAATTGGCTCATTATCCTTTTTCAAACACATAAAATGCACAATTTCATAGTCAAATATAATCCATTTGACAAAGAAAACCCATCTCAGGGCTACAACCTTATAGTCAGAAAACAGTACAACGCAACAAATCCTAGTCATGGTCTAATATGTGTGCCATTAGTTAAATATTTCATGCATTATATGTATTTAATCTCTCCATAGGATGAACAATAAGACAATTTCAATATAAAGCTGGGGGTTCATTCAAAACAATACAGACAGTTACGGTTGCTAAATGAATGGTGGAAATATGTTAGTGTGCATCTCAATAAGGAAGAGGTTTTGGATGACATGAACAAACACTGGAGCCTTGGAATGAGAGGAAAATATCTCAATATTTTTGCATGTTTCTTCTTCTTACCATCATTAGAAATAGAATTCCATCTTGATAACCCACAAGCATGACACTCTTCTTGATTCTTCCTATCTCCCAGTACAACATACAGTCATTTGGACAAGCTGCAATCTTCTCATAACCCAACCCAAAAGATTTCAGAAACTGTTTCATTTAATTAATAATGACCAAAATTGAGAAATAGACTCATAATTTGAAAGTTCCTTCTCCTTAGCACAGCTGTTGTTATCCTAAGCTTAGCTGCTTGAGCAAGTGTCAATGGCCTGCCCCAACATAGAATTCAACTCACATTAAGCTTAAATTAAATAAGAAAATAAAGGTCCAAGCCACAATGATGCTGTTGAAATTAGAAAATAACGAAATGACCAGCAATACACTAATATTGAACTTGGAAAACATCACAAAATCAACTTCCGAAACTAAAGCTAAATCACGAAACTAAATCACAAAAAAACAAATATAAAGTTGAATTGGTAACAAAAAAACCACATGCAGAAAGTGAAGAAAGAAGATCTAATGTTTCCAATGCCAGAGAACTCCACCAAAATGATTTAGCAAACAGGAGATAAAAAGACATGAATCTAATGAAAAAGTAAACCAAGGAGATCTGAAAGAAAGAGATATACTCGGAGCTAAAAAGCGATTGTGATCGCAACAGCGTAGCACAAGGCTACAGCCTTGATATTTGCAGCTTTGGGGCAAAGGACACTCCGGCTGCTCAACCACACCTCCCTCGATTGTTTCCTGCACAACCAGACGATGAGGTTCGTTACCTTAACCATCTCGTCGCCACCGCTGAATGTTCAATTCTCAAATTTCAGAGTCATAAACAGGGGATTTTGGAAATCTAAGAAGAAGACACAAACCTGGAGTACTTGATGAGATTCGAAGGAGAAGACACAAAGGATAACGCGAAATCAAAGTGAATATCGGGTTCGAAGAGAAATCAAAACCAAAATTGAAGCTACAATTGCTGAAACCTAATGGAGAGATTTGAAACTTACCTACCACAATTGCTTTAGGGTTTCTGCCTACCCAAGGGAGAGACTCTGGAAATGAAACAGAGATCTTGGAAATGAAAAGAACGAGAGAAATAGCAATGAAATCGAAAAGAACCGAAAGATTGGAAGAAAGGGTGATTCTGGGTTTTGGGACTAAAATAAGACAGTAATAACGAAAGACTTTGTTTTGGGACGCGGGGTTTCGGAAAAATAACGCTGGGACTTAATTTTGGAGGGATTCTGACATGATGTCTAACTTTATTTTATTTTTCAAGTTACAGGCGCTTTTCAACCGCTGGGAAATGGTTAACATTTGCAAATGCAAAAATGAAGCGCCCAAAAACACTCTACTTTAAATTAAAATTCCCAACGTATATGGTAAACGCCTGAAATAAAGTGCAGGTAAATCTCAAGATTCCTGTAGTGGTTGCAACCGAGAACTTCAACTTTGCATGCAAACCTATGCTGGCTTGCTTGCTTTTTTCTTTTCAGAGTAAAGTGGAAGCTGATGCTGGGAAATCTTTGGACCTGAGTAAAACTATCCACACATATTTATAGAAATTTGAGCTTGTTATTCCCAGAATTGATAAAAGGAATTATTTAAGGTTAACTCTGTATTTCTGTGATTTTCTGTCAGAGATGGAAAGAACAGTACTTTGTAAATGTTGGAACAGACTGTGGGTATAGCAAGCTTTTGCTTTGTCTGCTTCACTTAAAATTATTTTGATTATTCAAAATTTCAAACTCCCTTCTCCGATCTCCGAGTGAAATGAGGAATACTCATAATGAGAGAAGCTCATTACATTGTCTAAAGACTCTAAACAACAGTGTTGACATATCTGATAACAATTATATAGAGCAAAACACAAATAAGATACAGAAGTTTCCAGATTCATCGACCTCCTGAAAGTAGGGATTCTGCAATTGAAGAGGAATGCGTGTATGCCTTATCCATGAAAGACGAATAGGGCGTGGCAGAGTCATCAAAACCTTCACGATGGGCAAAAGTTAGGCCACCAACGGTCAGGCCTAGTGCTGATAAATCTGGTAAAGGAACATCCCCTTCTAAGTAGTGCACCACTTGGCGCATGCTCGGCCTGGCTTTGGGGTCTGAATGAGAACAGAGCAACCCCAGCTTCAGTACCAACTCCACTTCCTTTGCTACGAAATCCGTCCCTAATTTTGGATCTCTGATCTCAAGAATTTCCCCTCTTTGCCAAAATGAAAACACCAGATCAACCAGAATCAAATCCTCCGTTTCAGCTCGTGGCTCAATTGGCCTTCTTCCACACGCAACTTCTAGCGAAAATGCACCAAAAGCAAACACATCAGTGCTGGTTGCGGCCTTCCCTGTTCGGGTGTGCTCTGGTGCTATGTACCCCAAAGTACCCATCACACGTGTCGTATGTGGGTCCGTTCCATGATCATACAATCTCGCCAACCCAAAATCTCCTAATCTTCCGTTCAACTCACTGTCTAAGAGAACATTGCTGGCTTTGACATCTCTATGAATCACAACTTGCTCCCACTCTTCGTGCAAATAAAATAACCCTGAGGCTACGCCTTTGATGACCCTGAACCTCTGTCTCCAATTCAGGGTGACGTTCGGCTGGCCATAGAGGTACTTGTCTAGACTTCCATTCGGCATGTAGTCATAGACCAAGAGCAACTCCCCTTTTCGCCGGCAATAACCCAGGAGTTGAACTAAATTCCGGTGACGGAGACGACCAATGCTAACAATTTCCGCCACGAATTCCTTCATCCCCTGTCTTGATTCATGAGAGACCTTTTTTACGGCAATCTCCAATTTGGAGGTGGGTAATGTTCCTCTATAAACCCTACCAAACCCACCAGAACCCAGTAACCCTTTGTCCTTGAACCCATTTGTGGCTACATATAGATCTTTGTACTTGAATCTTTGGGGCCCGTATACGAGTTCCCAATCCTCAACTACATCTGCGAATTTCCTCTTCCTCTTTATGAAATAAACAACCCCTGAAACTGTTGCAAAAACAAGAGTCGGGGAAATCAGAGGCAATCCAATTGTTAAATACTTCAGTGTTTGATTCGGTCCTCCGCGAGGAAGCTTAGGTAGCCGAGTAATATCGAGCTCCTCTGCTTGGCCGTTAATCATAAAGCTCCAACCCAGAACACAATGAGATGCAGCGGGCGAACCAGTTGACGATGAGAAACCAACGTATACTGTATCGTTGACGATCGGTGATAGATCCTTGGACAGAGACAAAAGTGGGACTTTGGGTTTAGGAACATTAATTGGAGCTAAGGTGACATTCATTCTCTGATCTAGACTAGTGTATTCTACCCAAACCTGCATTGGCCGTCCGCTGATTAGCGTCAGGTTTGTAAATTGGCTGGTGCCGTCCACAAAATACCCAGCTCCATGAGACACCTCGGACGTCAACCCATTAACATCAATTCCGACATGGTTGTCATTTATGTCCTTGTACTCGAAATTGTTCATCGTATCGAATTCCACAGCAACAACACGATTGGTGTAATTTCCATTGTCGCTCTCGTTGAATAGGCCTAGGTATCGCATCGCCATAGCATCCGGGCGGCCTCTGCTTGGTGAAATTACAAAAGCCATTCCGTGACCGCTGAAAGTGGGGTATTGTGGGAGTATTGCGAAGACGAAGGTCGTCGTGAAGGAGAAAGCGGTGCCGTTTGTGGAGTTCTTGAGCTTAACTGGGGAGGAGTAGAAAGCGTGACCCTGTTGCAGTCGTGTATTATTGGTAAGCTTCAAGAGTCCATTGGAAGTGACCTCTGCTAGACCATCAAGGCTCAAATTCGCCGACCGAAACCCATTATAGGTGAAATTAACATCTCCGGCGACCGAGTTCACCAGGAGACTCAGCACTACGGCGAGACTGTACAACATGGCTAATTATTTTTACTTGGATT